AAAATGACATATTTTCACTTATCTTATATTGCATTAATCGCTTCCGGATACTTCGCCTTTTATATTTTCATTTTTTTTGGTGTCTTGTCATTGATTAACATTAGATTTTATTGTTTCTGAATTAATTGCCTTTTAAACTTTGGATTACTTTCAAATTCATTTGTTCGGTGCGTTCACTAATTCTTTTATCACTCAGGATCATTTGCTCCGCTGAATAAATTTCAGGAGCCTTTGTATTTTTATAGCGAAAGTTATATAGCAATATTTAATAATTATTTTTTGGGGCGTAATATCTAAAAAAAAATAAAAATTAGATTCCTTTCCCTCTGAATCTATATCGAAAGTTATTTCAGTTTGAGGCTTTCTCTGAGGTATCGGCTCAATCCTATTTTTCATTTAGGTGAGTTTCATTTTGACTTATATTTTTTTATTTTAATTTCTACTTTAAAAAAAATTAAATTTTAGATACCTTTTCCCTCCGAATCGATATCGAAAGTTACTTTAATTTGAGGCTTTCTCTGAGATATCAGCTCAATCCCACTCTTCGTTTAGGTGAGTTTCGTTTTGATCTTATTATTTACTTTTAAAAAAAAAAAGATTAATTTTATTTAATTTCTACTCTAAATTTTTAAATACCTTTTCCCTCTGAATCAATATCGAAAGTTACTTTGATTTGAGGCTTTTTCTAAAGTATCGACTCAATCCCGCTCTTCATTTAGGTGAGTTTGAATTTAATGTTAATAATTTTTTAGTTTTTTTTTTTTACTTTATCAAATGCAAAAAAAATATTAATAAAATTAATTTTTTATTTAAATTTTTCATTTTTGGATGGTGTATATTTAAAAAAAATTAGATATCTTCGAAAGGTCACGCGAATTTTCTTGCGCAATTGTTGATTCTTTGTTTAGGTAAGTTTCGACTTATTATTTTATTTTTTTTTACTCTATCCAAAGCAAAAATAAACTCATTAATTTTTTTTAAATCAAATATTTACCTATCGAAAACGGTAAGATATTTGGTGCAATTCAAAACCAAATGATGATCGCTGATCAATGAGATCTAATAGATTATGAATCAAGAAGTGATTCCACAGATAGCCCTAGTTTATATCAGAAAAATTTCTAATAGATGCGTTAGAAACTTATATAAATGTATAAAAAATATGTTATATCTTGTAGTAACAGTTACTAAAGATATTAAATGTATACTACCTAAGTGAATAATCACAATTATGGAAAATACATAGTTTTCAGAATTGTATGAAATATTTACCTTTGGACAATTTAATAATCAAGGTGTTGTAGTTTATGTTCATCAAAATAAGGTTGACAAATGGGTAGAAGTAAGTGATAGTTTAAACAGTGATCTTAAAATCATAGAAGTCTTAGGATATAATCATATAAAATTTTTGCTTCTTACAGAATTTGTAAGAAATATAGAACCACCCTGTTTTTTTGATGCATTTAAAATTATGATGATTAATGCACGACAACTACAACTTCTACAACACTATACTGAACATACTAGATGTGACCTATTATACAATGAAATCATTAATCTTTTGCATAATCAAAAAGCTGGTTGGAAGGTAAGTATTCATTAAACTTTAGGAAAGGAATTTATAGAACATCTTGCAAATGCTCTTTAGTATATCGATCCATATTTAAAATTATTACAATCTCGTTCCTGTCACATGCCCATGCTTTTTAAAGAATTGGTAATATATGCAAGTGATGATACTAATAGAAATACTTATAATCTCACATATCATATTAGTCATCACAAAAAAGAACCTATTTCATATCAAAAGTTGGATCTTTTAATCAAATTATTAAAACTCTCTATAAGGCAACCTTGGGTGAATGATAATGAATGGAATAATGTTATTCCTGCTATAATTTTCTTAGTAGATATAATGTGAAAATATAGTGAACATCTTGTAAAAAGTAAAAAAATAATGACTACTATTCATCACAATGATGAATCGACATGCAATCCAACAAATAATGCTAGTATGTTTCATGTTCTTGGCTGTAAGGAAGATGATCTTAACGAACAATATCAAGAGTTAAATGATGTTATTTTACAACTTGATTACTATCAATATGTGGATATTTATTCTTATCTTCCTATAAATGTTATGAAACATTATCGATATATTAAAAATCTTCAATTAACATGTTCAATTGGAATTTATAGGTAATATAAACTATAAAATTTATACTAATGGCTGCTTATTTATTAATTAATGCTAATAGTAAGCATTTCTTTAGATATGCATAAGGAAATTACCTTGGTATGATAACATATATATAGAAAATACCAGAATCTAAAGTAATTGTTGATTCTATATTGTATACGTTATTTTTGGTTGCATTTTTTACGTTTAATCAGTATATTGTATACGTTATTTTTTGTTGCATTTTTTACGTCTAATCAGTATATTATATACGTTATTTTTGATTGGATTTTTTACGTCTAATTAGTATATTGTATACGTTATTTTTGGTTGCATTTTAACATATAAACATTAAATTATATATGTAATTTTGATTGCAATTTTTATACATTTAATCATTAAATAA